CAAATGTCATGGTTATGACATTTGGTCCTAAAAAAATAAAAAAAACACTTTAAATAACGTCTTATTTTTATTAAAAACACCTAAAAAAATGAAAATAAAATAAAATAGGATGGATCACGTTTAGCAAATAAAATGTATCCTTCTTCTCTGTTTAGCAAATAAAATATTCATGCTAACCCACTGGAGTAAAGACACGTGTTTTCTACTTTTTAGCAAGGCCCTCTTATGAAATGTATCATTCTTCTTTGTTTTTATAAATGGAAAATTATATCAAAATAAAACCAACTTTCATCTAATTYYTATTTTGRRRAAYYAAYTTTYAAAATCGTCATTTTGGGGAACCAACTTGCACCTGATTCHTATTTTGGGGAACCAACTTTCAAAATYGTCATTTTGGGGAACCAACTTGCACCTGATTCYTATTTTGGGGAACCAACTTGCAAAATAATTATAGGAAAATAATTAAAATTCGTTTTTTTCCAAAAATTAACACAATAAAATCTATTTTTCATTTCAAATCTCGTTTTTTTTTAATTTAGATATCAAATTTAACATTTAAAAAAAAACTCAAATTACTACAATAAAAATTGTTTTTTACTAATAAAAAAAATCAATTTAATAGAAAAAAATTAATTGATGCAATTGGTTAGATATAAATATCTTGAATGTGATATTTAATATTTATTTTTTATTACATCAATTAATTTTTTTCTATTAAATTGATTTTTTTGCATTAGTAAAAAACAATTTTTATTGTGCTAATTTGGATTTTTTTTAAAAATGTTCAATTTGATATCTGAATTAAAAAAACGAGATTTGAAATGAAAAAGAAATTTTATTGCATTAATTTTTGGAAAAAAATGAATTTTAGTTATTTTTCTATAATTATTTTGAAAGTTGGTTCCMCAAAATAGAAATCAGGTGCAAGTTGGTTTCCCAAAATGACGATTTTGAAAGTTGGTTCCCCAAAATAAGAATCAGGTGCAAGTTGGTTTCCCAAAATGATGATTTTGAAAGTTGGTTCCTCAAAATAGGAATTAGGTGAAAGTTGGTTTCATTTTGGTACAATTTCCCTTTTAGAAACTATAATATTAAATGGAAAAATCACCAAAATACCAAAACATATCGATATATTAATAAAATAATTATTTTTTCACAAAATTGTCAAAATATACACACGAATCGCCCCGGGGGTGATCGTTGACCATGGGGGCGATCCCCCTAGTTTGACCAAGAAAGTACCAAAAATATTATAAAAAATCATTTTTGATGGGTCCCACATGCATTCATAAGGGTACAGGCCTCGTTTTGCGTGGATCTACCCCAGGGGCGATCCACGTCACCCAATCGCTACCCGGGGTGATCCAATTTTTTTTAATTGTTTTAATATCGATTAAGGGGTGTTTTTAATAAATAGAAGACGATATTTAAACTGTTTTTTGACATTTTTAGGACCAAATGTCATAAACATGAAATTTGGTCCTAAAAAGGTAAAAAAACACTTTAAATAGCGTCTCATTTTTATTAAAAACACCTAAAAAATGAAAAAATAAATAAAATATGATGGATCACCCCGGGGGCGATTGGGTGACGTGGTGATCTACGCAAAACGAGGTGAATAGTGTTGTACCCTTAAGGGATGCATGTAGAACCCACCATAAAAAATGATTTTTTAAATGATTTTTTGTACTTTTTTGGTCAAAAATAAAGGGATCGCCCCTGGGGGCGATTCATGTGGACATTTTTGCAATTTCGTGAAAAAATGGTTTTCTCGTTAATATATCGGGTATATTTTGGTGATTTTCCCTATTAAAATGCATGTATATACATAGACGTATAAAAGCACCGAAAAAAAACTAAGGGGCCGTTTACTTAAATGTTTACTCGGTAAGCACTTACCGTTAGGAGTGAACATTATAATTTATTTTATTGAAAAGATTGTAGTACATTAAAATGATAGAGTATGCAACAATTTACCCGGTAAGCATTTACCCGGGTAAGAGTCGTCACTCTCACTTATCGAGTAAGACTCTCCATCTTTATCATTGCTCTTATCGGATAAGATTTTTGACTTTTATCATGTTTATCAAATAAGAAAAATTACTAGATAAACGCTTACCAGGTAAGCGTTTAGTAAACGGCCTCTAAAATCGATATAAATAGTATGCCTTAAAAGTAATTTCTTTTTTATAAAAATATATCTATTATATCAATATTTGACATTTTATTTCTAAAAAAATTCATATTTTGGACTTCCAAGATATTGAAAATATAAACTTCAAACATTGCATTAAAAAATATTTAGGATATATATTACTAAATTAACCAAAAACTAATCACATTTCATAAAAAATTAGTTGATAAACTAGTCGATAACTATAAAATAATTATAAAAGACTACCAGTATATTTCTTTATATCAAAATAGTAGTCACAAAAATAAACAATTTTTCAATTATTTAGATCTAATGGAAAACTGTTACATTCCATATCATATTTATAATATTATTACGAATTTCTCATATCTCATAGAACACTCATTGTGTAACACCTGTAATTTTGGACTGGGTAATTTAGTAACATCTGACTTGTTCTAATTATGTTCGGAAATTAAACAGTCTCGTTTAGAACTCTGATACATACCTTTTTTCTCCTTCTTATATAAACTAAAAGCATTTTGCTATTCAAGTCATTTTTTAAGAAATTTTGAAGTTTTAAATTCTCTGTTATTTTATAAACTTAAGGGTGTTACACATTAGATGTTAGGAATGTAAAAACTTATATAAAGTTATCAATTAGAGACGAACAAGATATGGTTGAATCAATATCACATAAACTTAGGTTTAAGCATTAGCACTAGAAATAGACGTGGAAAGTGGGTATTCGAACCTTTAATCTCGATTCTTGAATGTTGTACGATTAGCATACTGTGTTTTTTATGTGTTTGTGTGTCTGAGGGAGGAAGGGAGGAGGGAGGGGGGCGGTCACGGTGGGGTTTTCAAAAGAGGGCAAAAACCCTTGATTTTATAGTGTTTTTATCTAAAAAGTTGTGCAATTATCCATCAGGATGGAGTGGTGCAAGGTTGGCTCAGCTCCTCCAAG